CTATTTATATATATTTATTACTTAAACGTTATTTTTTAATACGTTCTCATATTCGAGTATAGGCAACGTTTATTTATTGACAATTTATTACTTTTGTCTACCGGCTTCATATTCCAGAAATCCTATTAGAGAAATTATGCGCTCTAAGCAGGATTCGAAACAGCGTGCCCCGAGGAGAAATCATCATTAAATTTGACGTGCTTTGAGATTGTTTCGTCGTTGACCAACTATGCAGCCGAGAAGTCAAAGCATGTATCAATTCTTGTAGTTACTTTAAGTGTGTCCAAATGATATGTTTTGAAATTGGAAACTTTTTTTTTCCATTTCAGCCGTTAGAAATTCATATCTTCCCTTCTTTCTTAATACCATTCTTTCATTTATTTTCTAACTGAAACCAAATAATGTTATGCCTGTCTTTCCAAGCGACCAAAAAGAAATAGTCCGTTATTTATGAGGCTTCCTCAATGAAAACTAACTAGTGTTATTCCACGCGATCTAAACGGAAATAGTCTATTATTTATGTTGGATTCGCAGGTAGTAATAACTACTAGAAAATATTAATACAGAATTCATGATTCCTACATATACATATATATATATATATATATATATATATATATATATATATATATATATATATATATATATATATATATATATATCCTATATATATATATATATAAGATATTATATATATATATATATGTATGTATTAGAAAAAATACATATATCTTGCATGATTATGAGTTTCATGTTGAACAATTTTCATGTGCTGGAAGTATTATATTTACTTTAATTTACAAAGATAAAGATAATAATTCCAGCCCTTGAAAAATTGCTTCGGCATGAAACTGAGTTAAAAAGATATGATGAATATTTTTAATATATATATATATATATATATATATATGTGTGTGTGTGTGTGTGTGTGTGTGTGTGTGTGTGTGTGTGTGTGTAAAAATATATAGAAAATAGTAAAAGAACTCGTTAGGCAAATAAGCGAAAGTTCTTTAGTATTTTTTGTTATTATTTTCAAAAAAAAGCAGTGCTCGATACAAAAATAGAGTTTAAATATTATTTATTTAAAAATATGATTCCATCGCTACATAAGAGTTCTCATGTTTCAAATGTTTTGAAACATGAGAACTCTTATGTAGCGATGGAATCATATTTTAAATAAATAATCAATATATATATATATATATATATATATATATATATATATATATATATACATAATAGCCCTGTTACTTGACATTGTGCACTTATTGTAGATCATGCAACATCCCTTGTGTTTACTAAAGTTCAAATTTTCAATAATTCTATAAAACACTCTATATTTTAATGCGGTGAAACCAAATCTCAATTGAGATATTGAGACAGTGTTTTATTTATGAAGCGATAGTCAATCATAAAATCTACCTGACAATTTGACGCATATCAATGTTCCATTTTCTGCATAATCGACTTTCAAATCACACTCTCCACCAAATAAGAATGCTGCTTCGTAAATATCCTCAAACGCATTTCAAGCTCGACTAGTACCGGACACTTATCATTTTTCGTCTCTTATCTTTGCAGTACACACGCGGCTACGAATTTCCAGTTCGCTTTGTCCTCTTCAACGCGAATCCTTTTGCGACGTTCATTCCTTTGAGAAATATTACATTTATATTCGTTTTCGCTTCGATTTGTTATTTTGTGTATTTATTTTCGTTGCCATCATGAAGCAAAGATTATAGCCGCAATGACAAATCCTTTTAACTCCAAGGAAAAATGCCCGCTATTGTTTCTTTGCCCATTCTCGTCTCACAAAGATATGAGTTGATTTTCGTTGTAGAAAATGAATAGATGAGGTGATCCAATAATCGAGAGACAATTGTAACCGGCAACACTCAAACATACTTCGTTCAAATATAAACATACAAACTCATATATACATTTAAGCCTATATATATATATATATATATATATATATATATATATATATATATATATATATATATATATATATATATATATAGTTATATATACACACACTCATATGCGTGTGAATAACAGTGTTCATGCAAGGGTATATTTGTGTGGGAGATTAGGAATGCAAAAAAAAATGGTATTATATGCAAAATACTAGACATAAAATAAAGATAAATTTTCCGCGTGTAGTAACCTTTGAAAATAAAACAAAAATGGACGTCCAGCCGAAAAAGAAATGATTGATGATGATGTTGATGAAAAGAAAAAGAAAAAGAACAACAACATCCTGAAGAAGAAGAAGATAAAGATGAAGAAGGAGGTTGAATCCACCGAAAGGAAGAAGGAGAAAAATCATAAAAGGAAAAAGAATATGTTTAAGTTGAGAGAAAGAGAAGCAGAAGAAAAAAACTGACATTGTTAATAGGAACAAGAACAATAATATATTAAAGTTGAGAGTAGTAATAATAGTAGTAGTATTTGAACAATAATAATAATAATAAGAGGAAGAAGAAGAAGAATATGGATGAATACTGATTGATTAAGATAAATTAGAAAGAGTCAAAACAAAAAGCAGTGTGGAATACAAAAAAAGAATGAAAGAAATAGCAACTGGGCTGTTGCTACCTGACTCTAAAATAAATAAAAAATGAGTGTATAATCTTTTTTTTAATTAAAAACATCATTAAGAAAATTGAAAACAAGCTAAAACCCTAATGAAGAATGAAAAAAAGACATAAAAAGTACAAAAGCACATTTTAAAATCCCAGGCATTATTTTCAGAAGATTGAAGGGATATATGAAACTAAATAAAGATAATGACAAGAAGATGTAGACAAACCACCAGCTAACAGATAGCGGTACGAATGGAATCTGAACAGTAAAGCTGAAAAAAGCCAAATGAGGGACAAAAGGGAAAGCTCTCTTAGAATAGTCTGGAAAAAAAGTGTAAAAGATAAGAGGCTATGGAAAGAAATAAAGAAAGGTTCAATTTCGAACGAAAAGAAGGAAAAACAATAACTGGTGGAAATTAATGGATACAAAAAGAAAACAAAGACTGGAATGAAATGAAAAACAAAGAAAAAAAAGAGGCATATTCATAAGAGGCCAGCGAAACAAATGGATTTAGCATGAGAAAAAGTAAATGAGATAATGTAAGTAAATCAAGAAAGAAATGTAAAAAGAAACGAAAAAATGTTAGTAATAGTTTAAATAAAAAATAAATAAAATTAGAACCAGAAAAATATGAACGAAAGAAAGAAAATATAAATAAATGAAGAAAGAAAGAAAGAAATAAAGAAAGAAAGAATAAATTCATCGAAAGAAACAAAATAATGAAATAATAAAAACTAAATATTGGTAACGTTCAAAGGAGAAAAAAAAATGATCCTTAAAAGGCAAGAGTAATGAATGGAATAAATACTGGAAAATGATTGCAACGAAAGAAAGAAAGAAAGAAAGAAAGAAAGAAAGAAAGAAAGAAATTAAATTTTGTGTGAGACTGGAGAAAAGAAGACGAAACAATCTCTTGTAACAACAGTAAATAAAGAAGTAAATAAAGAAAGAATGAACGATAAAACAGTTTTTTTTTTAAATAATTAAAAATGATTAAATAAAAAAAAAATGTTTATTGCCCTCAGACAATACAATCATCTTTTATAGGCAAAGCGCCAAATAAACCACCCGCTTGTGCCAATGATCAGCTTAACACGCAAATACAGGAAGCTTTGAGTCTCCATCCCACTCACCGCCGCTTTTCTCTCTGAATTACTTACTTTCTGATTGAGTGAACGGAGACTACAAAGTGGGGAAGAGACGTGCTCAAAGTCTTTTCATTTTCTCTCATCCGCCCCACCTTTACTTCTGCAATATTTTGTCCGGGCTTTTACTCAATCACAGTATTATCTCCTTTCCTTTCTCGCTATCTCCAAACAAAGACACTTTAGTTTTCTGCATTGATAAATCCAATTGATCGCCTGTTCGCAATTCTTTGTTCGATAAAGTGGTTCCCCTGAATGAGCGGCCGGGGCTTCGATTCAGTACCAACCATGATGATTAGTGTTAAAGATGTCCTTTATTTCCATCAGGACGTCAACATCGAAGATGAGGAAATAAACGTCGCTTTCTGGCCGCTCTGCAAGTAAATTGACCGGGAATATGACAAATTCAATTTCGGCCAACTTCATTGCTATCTGAAAGAAAATGCGCTGAAATTCTTCCACAAAAACAAGAGGGTATAGAAGAAGAGAGAAACGTGCCTCATGTGAAATAGCTTTTTGAATATAAACCCACATATACGCTCCAAGCACACCTCCACAGATAATTGGCTGCATACACGTTGTCACGAATATCAATGAACCACAATTGTCTTAGGTTGAAAAAGCATTATTATTGCAGCCAATATGCAGGTTAAAATTAGAGCTATCTGCTAACAGGAGCATTCGTGTAATAGGAAATGTTTGAACTTCAGACCTGCAACAGAAGATGAAAATACGTGATGATATAATTCTTAGGAAATAGTTTTTTACTGTATTGTTGAAGTTTTAGAAACATGTGCGTCGTTGAGTGCATTCTGTCGGAAGACAAAACCCATACACTTATACAAATATTACAGTGATAATGAACACAGAGCTGTGGTTTATAAATATACTTCGTAATATAACCGATGCATACATTTACACACACACACACACACATATATATATATATATATATATATATATAGATATATATATATATATACACACACACATATATATATACACACACATATATATATACATATATATATATATATATATATATATATATATATATATATATATATATATATATATATATATATTACAATGAATCATTCATAAAAATGTAGATTAGTAAATTTAATGACATAAAATAGCGAAATTCTTTCGCAAACAAAAATTTAAAGGAGCATTGATCTTCAAATCCTTTTATTTAGTTCATGCCACATTGACTAATTATCTCCTACAACAAAAAAATTCTCAAATTGTTATATTACTAAAAAAAACGCACTCTCTTAAATTTTCGACTGCACACACCAAAAATTTGTATCCGTTAACAATAAAACATTAAAAAAAAAAATATTTCGATTCTCATTTAACATTTCGTCTCTGATGCTACCTGAATTTTACCAAAAACAAAACAATTTCCATGTCTGAGGATGACTGAATGTACAGTTGAAAGTACTTGCGAAACACCTTGTACGGTTTATAATTTTTAAAAGCAAGTATCATAACATTCATCGAGGGATTTGTAGGTTAAAGCACCTTTAAAATTTTGTTTGCGCCATTGAATATCATTAACTTTTACTAATCTACTTTTTTGTATGAATGATTCATTGTAATATAAATTGAACTTCACCACATGGTTGATATATATATATATATATATATATATATATATATATATATATATATATATATATATATATATATATATATATATAAATATAAAATAAATCCACATATATTTATATTAGTTACCTCTGTTTGCTCACTGAACAAAACAGCATAGGATGATTAAAAAGGCCCCAAACTTACTAAGAACAAAGTTTCATCGTCAAAATATTTATCTTATTTTTAAGAGAAAAAAAATAAAGTATTTTTAACTAATATTTAATTTATTTTAATCCTTTCTACCATGTTCGAACTTTTAGTTAAACATTTTTTACGTCAGCGATTGATGTAATATTTATACTTATTTTTTTTGTTGTTTTTGCGGTGAAGACCGCAGTGATTTGGAAATTCTTGCAAAAGTCAAATAATTATCGGATTTTAATGAAACTTTCAGGACATATTCATAAATCAATTAAATTATTTTGGAATATTTTATTTTAGAAACTGAAATATCTTATACCAACTTACTTAATTCCAGGAAATTTCGAGAAAGTTAATTTTCTTTCCTAAACAATTTATTAATTAATGTATATCACCCAATTTGTTTTCACACTACTGCTGTTTTCGCGAAATTCTGCTCTGAATGGTAAACTAAAAAAAACGTAATAAAACTATGATATTATTTAATTAGAAAAAAACTTTTACATGATTTCATAAATATGTAATATTTAGGACACTATAATCTTAAGAATTTTTTTCCCGATGAATAATGTATTTTTACAAGAAATATTTTCATTTTTTAAATTTTAATTATAATAATTTATGATAATTAAAATTCGTTTAAAATTCTGTATTAATTCCTTTCTTTTAAATGATATTGTAATTAATTGGAAACTATTATTTTCGAATCAAAAAACCTTAATATAAGTCGTTTTCCCGAAGATTTTTAAAATATTTTTTCATTTAAACACTAATTTTTGCATGTATCTTCGTCTATACTTGACATTAATATTTTAAGGTTACATGTTGTAACAGTTGTCGTCTCTTTACAGAGAAATTCGCTTGTCTGTAATTCGTTATTCATTGCGTGTTTGCGTTGAACAGGCTTTACACATAATCCCTTCAAAATCTTAAAACATTAAAAGTAAAAAAAATATATTAAAAAACATAAATTAATAATAAATGAACTGTCATAACATTTCAAAAATTATTGAGTTACCCGTATCATTAATATCTCATTTATCAAATTTTAAAATTCATTTAGGAACATTTTGTAGTATTGTAAATATTAATATGCTAGGTAGTTGGAAGAAAAACGTTCACTTAGATTTCGTAAATTTCTGTTCATCCATACTAAGCTCTCAACACTTTAACCCATCGATAACGTCAATTAACACCTCATCAAAACAGGACCCGTGTTAAGAAATACATGTATACTACATTTTTTTGTTTCAAATCAGATGAATTTATCTTTATATTTGCTAATTTTCCTCAAATAACGTGTCACAAATACATATTTTAATTTTGGAAGATTTTTTAAACTGATAATTAAATTCCATTTAAAAATGTGTTAAAATGTGAAAAAATGACCGCCTGTAGTCAGTTTTGTATAACCAATTTACTAGTTACGAATGATTAGACACTGCTGTCTGTGAGGCGATAGTTTGGCATTTTTGTGTCTGAAAACCAGTTCATCTTCACAATGCATAATATAGTAGCTAATTCCCAATGGTACTACAGATATTTATTTAAACTCTGGTATGAGCAAGACTATGCAAAAACTGATTTTCATAGCGGGTTGGGAATAGCGCAGCAACAAAATCTTAATATACGAAATTTTCTGGAAAATTTTATAAATATTTAAAAAATCAAACACTGTAAGCTGTATTAATAATTCAATAATTAGTTACATCATCTGAATATTATCATAATATTAGGAATATATATAAGTGACCTTCTTATATAACTGTTTAAATGCTAAAAGAAGATTGATATAAAATAAAAGCTCCAGCGAGGAAAGAAATAGAAATAAATATACTCCATAAAAAATAGCTATATAAACACATATCGTGAGAGACCGATAAAAAGGGCGAGAAAGTAAGAGAGAGAGAGAGAGAGAGAGAGAGAGAGAGAGAGAGAGAGAAAGAGAGAGTTTGTTAATTATTATCATATACGCCTATCCAATAATACATACTTAGTCTTAGAACTAACTAATCGACATATGAGCAATAAAATATTTTAATAAAAATTAGAGTTCATTTTTTTTTCTTGAGAATGGACACAGGTCTGTCTAAATATTTCGATCTCAAATATTTTTTCAGTTTGCTTATATTTTGATTAATGGCCTAATCATATAATAATAATAATAATAATAATAATAATAATAATAATAATAATAATAATGAAAAAAAGAAGCATATTTTTTCATTCAACGGATTAATATATTTGCAAAAGGATAAGTATATACACACACATATACTTACTAATTACTCATTTTCGACATTGACCATTTCTCAGTGCTATCTATAGAATTCTTATAATTAGTTTCGCTTTACTTTAATATCAGGATTTTTAATATACCTACACAGCTTCTATTATCGCAAACCGCATTTACCTATTATTGCATTACGGCTACTACAATTATTAATGAGAAACTTTAAAATGTTACATTATACCTGGCTCATTGCTGTGTTTGCGTGACCAAATCATCATTACGTAGTGGTGTCACTACCTAAGACTTCACGGCTGTCTTTAGACCAGTGACTATTTATTTGTTGGAATGGTGTCGATTGGTAGAAAATAATTCATAACCCACACGGCCGCGTAGACGATTTTAACTTCTATCTAAACTGAACAGTGAGAGTTGGACAGCTCGAGTCGAAATATGGCAGCAACACTACACTTTTGGTCTCATCTGACTCGTTTGAACATACAGCAGAGTTACGTACATGCATCAAGAGGTGAGGGAGCCAACCATTTCTCCAGTATCATTTAGGGATGTATCATTAATGAGTTCCACTTGAAATGTGGGTTAAAAATGAATACAGACAGGCGTTCAAAGCACGAATCTCCCTGTAAGAGCAACCGTCCATCATGATAGGCAAAAAATGAGTTCTACACGTGATGATGGGACTTTAGTAGTTTTCTTTTAGAGATGTTGATTGTTACAAACCAGGTATTCCTTTGTTGGGATATTGTATCTAGTTTGGAGCAGAAATCAGAAGCCAGACTTTGGTCATTTTGATTTACAGTGATATAAATAAGGTATTTTAAAGTATGTTTTAAATAAGGTATTTTTAAAGTAACGTTTTAAGCGTGTCCTTTGACAGAATAAGGGTGGGATCGGGAAGAAAGCTGTTTAGAAGAATTGATTAGATCCCATGTGCTTCAGAAGCCTGGCTTTTAAGAATGATCTTCATGAAGCTACCTTTCAGGAAGGATTCGATAATTGAGAGAACTCATGCAATTATTCATTTGCTGGAAAATGTATGTAGTAACGCCTTATACCAAACATCTTCTAATGTCTTTAACATAAATAAGGTAACCAAGAAATCATCAGCTGAACTTGCAGGATAAAACACATTCTGCTTATCGCCCAGGAGATTGTTCCTGTTGAGACGATAAACAATTTACTTGAGAATCCCAAAGAACTTACTGAAGAAACTTAGGATACAGTAATTGTCTGAAGATAAGCGCCGATCTTCATTCTTGAATGTAAGCTGTACAGCTGACACCTTCCAAATATTTGGAAAGTTTTTCCTCATTAGGATGCGGTTAAACTGTTTTGACATACTTGGAGATGACACTTGGCTAATGTTCTTAAGGACAACAACGTGGATTTTATGTGGAGGTGTAGTTTCTAAGACTCACTAATTTTGATTAGTCAAGAAAGATCCCTTGCAGTGATGATAATATAAGGTTTATGAAGTATGAACAGAATGAAGTTAGTTAAAGGATGGAACTTTTCGTCTGAAAAGTCCATTACAATGTGACTTGCTTCATCAGAAGATGATAAAATAAGATCAGGAACGTTTATGATAGGCATTGTTGAATTTGTAGAATTTATAAAAGACACGGAAAGAAAATATTTTTAAAAAAAACTTTCTTGAACTATGTATAGCTCATATCTACATTCTCTGTATCTCTCTTGTAATGATTATAGGACTTTTCGAATAAAGCAAATGTTCTACTACAAATTTCTCTCTGATAAATTTTGTATTAATGGTTACGGTGAACTATATCAGCAGCCCATTCCGACCTGAACTAAAGCTAGGTATTCGGTTTAATATTTTTTTCTATAGGATAAAACCTTTTTTCTATAGGATAAAACCTTATATGAGAGAAAGGATCTATTCTGGAATGTGGAACGCAGGTCTAGAAAACTATGTTCTATGAAACCTAAAAAAGGACCTTTAAATACATGTTAGATCGAAATCTATCACTGTCAACTTTGTTGTACCAAAAGTTGGACGTATGCAAAAGAGTTGCAATTGCCTACGACACTACTGCTTACGAATCTGACGATATATGTCATAAACACCAGATATCTGGTGTGAAACATTCACCTGCATGAAATGCATTACACTGTACAAGACAATTCGAATCAATGCCAGGCATACCGAAAGGAAAAAGGAAACGTAAAGAAAATCCCAAGTGGGTCTGAGTCGCTCTTAACACAACGAAAACAATAAGAAAAATTAAAGATAGATAAAACGAAATTGTCAGGGCAGTTTGTATACAAATGAAAATGGATTAAGAAAACATAGAGTAAACGAATCTAACAAATTAGACAGGAAGAATGTAATATAGCGCATGACTTGAAACTGTGACTTGCTAAGACCAGAATCGGTCTAATAGAAAGAAATGCTTCAGATACCCCGGAGACGTTGAGATCCCTTTAAATCATCACATCAAAACCAGTGGATGTGGCAACAATATACAGGACAGAAAAAGAATTCCAGAATAAGGATTTTTCAGGGGAAATTTGTGTCAACAAATTGTAAAATAAATAATAAATTTGCCACTGGCAAAAAAAAAAAAAATACGGCATTTATCGTAAATGACGATAAGAGTAGTTATCGGTGTGTTGGACACACTCCCCAAATGTCAGAAAAAATCTGGAGGACCAGTGTTGAAAATAGCTACAATACGGAATAGGAAGTTGATAAGACATGTTGTCATTTAATCTCCAATCAAGGCACACTTGCGACGGCTTTTGACACACAGTGAGATTAGGAAGACAAAAACGACATTGAAATTAATCATTTATACAGACGCGTTTGATAAAGCACACCACAAAGATCTAGTTAGCGATGTTATATTTAGAAAAGATATCAGAATAATCCAGCAAACAGCTTACATACGGATAGAATATGAGTTCAGCAAATATACAAAAAGAGAAATGGGTGTAAGACAAGTATGTGTCTTCTCACCGGACTTATTCCACTTACACAGTGAGTCGATTCTGAAAGAATTAAAAGTCCTGCAAGAATGAATTATTGGTAGAGTGTTGGTAAGAGTCACAAGAAGGAAACTACATGCACTGATACAGAATGTAATGAAGGAAAGCGAGAGAAAAAAAACCTACTAAACATCAATTGCAAGTCAACGAAATGCATTAGTGATATCTAGACGAAGTGTCTAATATGCAAATTAAACATATGAGATATACAGAAATCAAACAAATATAACAATTTATATATGTGGGAAGTGGTTGAACAGATGACAGAAACTGTGACAATGAAATCCGAAAGCGAATTGGCATAGCAAAAGGTGTTTCAAAAGGCAAGGCAAATTATTAAGAAACACAAAATTTCGTTAGAAAAAAAAAGTGTACTGCTGTAGTATCAGTCCTTCGAAATGGCCGTGAATAATGGACATTCTGAGTTCAGATGAAGAAGAGATTTCAAGCAACAGAAATGTGATTCTACAGAAGGATACTGAGAAGACCATGGACCGATCATTTGAGTAACGACGATGTTTTAGAGAAAATGGAAAGAAAAAGGACACTTAACTTTACAAAGAGACAGTTTAAATTCCTAAGGCACATAATGAGAAAAGAGAACTTGCAAAATTTAATACTCACAGGGAATATTAACGGCAAAATGAACAATACATAACCTACCTAATAGAGCTTGACTAAATGGATGACGGAACAAGTTTTAGGAGAGATAACAAAAAGACAAAATTTATTAAAAGTTACATTTACAATCAAGTTTAAGTAAAATATAAAAAACATGAAAATTTAATTCGAAACGAAGAAAAGAGTACTGAACTGTTACGTAATATCTGTACTTCTGTATGGCAGGGAATGCTGGGAAATCTCCTCGCAGATCAAGAACAGACTAGAAACAACAGAAATGTGGATCTACGGAAGAATACTGAAAATACCGATCATTTGAGTAACGACGATGTTTTAGAGAAAATGGAAAGAAAAAGGTCACTTATACTTAACATCATGAAGAACCTGTTGAAATATCTAGCGGGCGTAAATAGGAAATAGGGTTTGAAAAATTTAATTAAAATTTAAATTTAGTTAAAATTCAGCAGAATGTGTTGCATTTAATTTATCACAAATATATTTGTAAAGATATACATAATATAGATTATAGAGCAGAGCAGATTATATTTAAGACCACAATTAATCTTATATTATTTATTATCCTGAATTATTGTTATATATCCATTATGGGCAAACCTTTTCGAGCAGGGGCTGCCAGGAGATATGTTTCATAATTCGACATTACTAAAATTAAAGAATATTTTCATTGAAAATACTTCAGCAATTTTTAAGACAGTACCAATTTAGTTTAGATATCGAGAAATATTGAATTTTTCTTAAGGAGCAAAGATTGTTTACGATAATTAAAAACAAAATTAAATCTCGTAATCTTCGGATCATATCTCTGATGCATGTGTGATTAGCACACATACTGCGCGTATCCTTTTTCTAATTTATTCATTTGATAATAGAAAAACAAATTAAATTAATAAACATAGAAAATATATTTCATTTCTAGATAAAAAAATTATTACGAATTTTTATGATTTTTCCAGTTTATAGAGCAGATGCTTACCCGTATTTTTCCTTAGTAAAAATCAACAAGGGTTTAAACAATTATTCTGGATGAACATTGTGGTTACAACTTGTTTGTATAACTGATATATAAA